AGCTGTGCCCAGCCCAGGAGAGCAGCTCTCCTAGCTCTGAGCAGCCCCAGGGTATAGAAAATAGGTAAGAGCAGATGGCAATAATCAAAATATGAGCCAATTAACACAATAACTGTCTTTCTGCTAATGTTGCTCAGAGCAAAATGCCACAGCCCAAGCTACAGAAGACCATCTATAAAGGAACAGCCATTCTTAAAGAAAAGCGTGTAGTTTTAAAGCATTATTAAATGCAACTGTTTAAAATGTACCGTAATTCAGACAGCCTGTTTTAGCACATGATGCTACCGAGACAACACAACACATCAATATTCAGTAGATACTAGAAGGAAAATAAAATTTAGAAGTGACAAACTGTGAAAAAGTTATATTGTTCACTTAACAGATTTGATTAATTTGTTCCAGAAATTCACAACAGAGTTTACTGTGCTAAAGGTAAAAGAGAAAGCTATACTGGGAACAATGAAAGCAATCCAATTCCTGACTGACAGTAATTGCTTTACTTTTGGGCGCCTGAAGACAAATGCATAAATGTTTAAAAATCCAAGTGAACAGCTGTACTATCTAACATTTATGCTGGCACAATTATTACACGGTTTCCCTCTTTTCTATTGAAACCACAAAGAACTGAGGTGAAAGAAAAGAAACGTCACCTTGACTACATAAAGGAGGCTTCACTACACTCAGCTGTCTATCCTCTTCCTTTATCTAATGACTAGGTATATTAAAAATACCTCAATTAGTTAAGTTGTTTCTTATTATTAAAATTATTTTATTAAAATTACTTCAAAGGATATTATGTATTAGGCAAGCAAAATCATCTATTGTTTAGCTAAAGAAATTAAAAGGTATTTTACCTATGAAATCTTCTCTAAAAGAAGTTATTGAGAACTAAGAAACAGCAAAATCATGTAGATATAAGACTAGGAAAGAAGTAGAGAAAAACATCTGCAGCAAGCTCAAGCTGTAAAAAATGCCAGAATTACATGATCAACCAGCAGAATGACTCTAGAATGTCAGTCAATAACTCGTTCAAACCACAAAAGTTCTCTTTAATGAATTCAGGAAATATTTTAATTTACTACTTTTTTTTTTAAATGGAAATAGTTCAACATCTGCTCTGCGTTTTACCACTAGTTCTGCTTTTATCTGAATTAATGCTCTGACCTAAGCCCCACGACACCAGCAAAAGAAAATCACTCAGTCCCTAATGGCAACAGACCTAAATACCAGCAGTTTCAAAAGCCAGGAGCCCAGGTGACATCTTCTGGAGATAAATTCAGTATGAACGTAGATCTGAACACCACCAGAATTACAGCTACTAGAAATTACCAGCCTTAATGCTTTGGATGGGAGTAGGGGGAAGGTCAATGGTAGGAGTCAGCAGATTTCCAGTAATACCAGTGCCATGCTACTGACGCTGCCATCATGCTGAAAAAGGTACACGAGTAGGTTGTTTTTTTCACAGGTATAAAACCCGTATCAGTTATTTCAAAGCACTAAACAGTGCAGACTAACAGACACAGCATTATTTTTATGATAAGACTGAATAGCAATGCTTTGCTGAAGAAATTTATTATATGCTCTCTAGCAGAAAATTGTTACAGCTGTGCCTCTTAATAGTAGAGCTAGAGCAAAACTAATCAAAATATAATAATAAAACTGTCAAATGTACCTGGATAATTTTGGCTTTAAGTCTTTGCATTTCAAACAATCTACTTCAAAGCGCTAGAACCTTATCAAAGATCAAAAATACAGATTCTAGAAAAAAAATTAAAAGGCTGCATCACTACAAAGAATTCACTATCTTCAACTCAAAAGACGCAGAACACAAACTAAAGCATAATAAAACCATACATTTAATTCATGCTACTCTCCAAGCCATTAAGTATTGCTTCTCACTGAAACTGCAAATCCTGCACACTTGCTTAAAGAATTGGAACACAAATAACCAAACTTGCCCTGAAGGTAGGAACAAGCGCAAAAAGAAAATAAGTAATCAAAGGAGGAGGCTATAGGCAAAAAGCTGATGTCTGTATGTATATATAAATATATATGCCTTCTCTATCACAAAATCAGAATCCACTAGCCAGATTAAATTAAAATTTTAGCAGCTACCGCATGTCACATTTTCAGCGGAGAGCTGTTACCGAAGGAGTACAAGGTATGGGTTTATGGTTTTCTGTTACCGCTTAGATGTCTTGAGGTAGAACAGAAAACTGTCTCAAATTCTTTTATTTTTCCCAAAAGTTACCTAAGACATGACAATTGTCAGACGTTTCTAGGTCAAATCCAGTATTTTAATTTGGATATGTATTTATTTATAAATCTCTAATGACAACTACAAAAAAACTGCACACGAATGGGACAGAGCATCCTTCCACTTCAACTCAGCTTCCTGACACTCCACAATTTGTTTTTAATCTTCGTCTGCCAGACGGTAACCCACGGAGGTTGAAAATTTACAAAGAATAAAACTCTATTATTTTTCATAGAATTAAAGAACATACGTAAACTTATGCCACTTCACTAAAGGTACTGAATCACTCAAATTTACACACTGAACTATATACGCTACTTCAAGATCACCTTGGCAGACAGCAAAGCCAAACGGAGCCTCTTTTTTCATGTGCTTGTCTCATAACAAAC